TTTGTTAGATATTAGAATAGCTATAGCTTGCTTCTTAAGTCCATTTGAATGGAAAGTTTTTTCCAGCCTTTTACTCTGAGGTAGTGTCTGTCTCTGAAGTTGAGGTGTGTTTCTTGTATGCAAGAGAATGATGTATCCTCTTTTCATATCCACTCTGTTAGCCTGTGTTTTTTTATAGGCAAATTGAGGCCATTGGTACTAAGGGATATTAATGTCCAGTGATTGTTATTTCCTGTTATCTTTTGGTGGTAGTGTTGTGTGTTTCTCTTTTTTGTATTTGATGGTGTGGGGTTATCTATTGCCTGTGTTTTCATGGGTGTATCTAACTTCCTTAGGTTGGATTTTTCCTTCTAGTGCTTTATGTATGGCTGGATTTGTGGATAGGTATTATTTTAATCTGGTTTTATCATGGAATATTTTGTTTACTTTGTCTATGGTTATTGAGAGTTTTGCTGGATATAATAGTTTGGGTTGGCACCCGGGTCTCTTAGTGCCTGCATAACATCTGTCTTGAACCTTGTGGCTTTCAGAGTGTCCTTTGAGATCAGGTGCTATTCTGATGGGTCTGTCTTTATATGTTATACTTGGCCTTTTTTCCTTTAAAGCTCTTAACATTTTTTCTTAATTCTGTATGTTTAGTAGCTTGTTATTATGGCATAGGGACTTTTTTTGTTTTGATCCAGTCTATTTGGTGTTCTGTAAGCTTCTTGTATCTTCATAGGCATTTCCTTCTTTAGGTTGGCAAAGTTTACTTCTATGATTTGTTGAATATATTTTCTGTGCCTTTGAGTTGGAATTCTTCTTCTATATTTTTTTCTTAGGTTTGGTCTTTTAATGTTTTACCAAATTTCCTGGATGGTTTATGTTATGACATTTTAGGCTTTAGTGTTTTCTTTGACTGACAAATCTATTTCCTCTATTATATCTTCACCACCAGAGATTCTCTCTTCCTCTCTTGCATTCTGTTGGTTATCCTTGCATCTGTAGTTCCTGTTCCTTTACTCAGATTTTTCACTTCCAGCATTCTCTGAGTTTGCATCTTCTTTATTGTCTCTATTTCAGTTTTCAAATATTGAAGTGTTTCCTTCACCAGTTTGTATTTTTTTT